ATAGTTAACCTGAAATCTTTTTCCAGAATAATTGGTAAAGAATGTAATATGCGTGTAGTTAACAATATAAAAGCGAATAAGGAAATTAGGCATTATATTATATATTATTGATGAAAAGAGAAACAAAGAAAGGAGATTGATAAATCGAAATATTTTCGTGATTTTATTTTATATATATATATATATATATANATCAAGAAAGAATTAGATTTTGTGAAAGGATTAGATTACTACATATATTATTATTATTATATATATTATTTTTAATAATCTTTTTTTTTTATTTTTCAAATAGAATAGAATTTTAAAATGATTTAGAAATAGACTTTTAATTTATTAAGAATAATATTTTTTAATATTATTACACATATCATTATTATATGAATCATTATTTTTCATTATTTCAGCAAGATATTCATATATTTGTTACTGCAAAATAATTATGCCATATAAAATTTATACTTACATATGAATGGTTGTCTCAAAGTATATCTTATTGAATTTTTAAAAAATTTTTTTATATGATTTAAAATTGTGCTTAAAGATAAAGTATTATTGTAAGTATATTAGATTTTTATATAATATAATTTCTTTATTAATAATTAAATGATTTCTTTATAAATAATTAAATTTAATATCTTATGATTTTTATTTATTAAAATTATATTGAATATAATTTTTCTTTTAGGACTATTTAAAAATATAGTATGCAATAATGCATGTAATAATAATATATGTAGTAATGTAATATACATTAATTAAGCAAATTATAACGAGATATGAATATAGATTCCAACATAAGATCAACTATATATTTGATTTATCTAAAATTAATAATTCTATCGAAACTTTTAATTCTTGTCATGCTTGAAAAACATAAGATAAATTAAGAAGAATCTAATAAATTAATTTCTTTATTCTTTTCTCTAATTTATGAATATAAATTATAAATCAGTAAATATCGTTTTTTTTTGTACTTTCATTATGAAAATACGTTAGGTTTAATCGTACATTATAGACATAATTATAGATAGAATAAAGTATTCTAAATCAAGTTTATATTCGGTAGGGCGAAATAAAATTCGGTCAAGTCCATTTAAGCTACAATAGATATCTGACAGATCATATTTCTGATTACGTGAAAAGCCAATAGCATTTGGTGGATTTATCTAGGCTAGTATGAACCGAGTTAGAGACTGGATATGACAGAAACCATTGAAGCTCAACATGATTCAGTAGGGTTATAATATATCCTGGTACAATATGATTCGAATGAGCCAAAGTTTGGTAGGATTCAAAGTCGGATAAGAAAAATTAGTAATCATTAAATTCAAAGAAATTTATATCGTGTTATATGGAAATATTTAAGATTTAGATAGATAATATATAAATTCAGTTATTAATGTTTGAATAGGATTCATGAATTATTGATGTTATAAATCAAAGTGATCAATATAAGTCAATAGTACATACCTTTGTGGAATGGAAATGAAGCATAAATTATATATATATTTAAATTACCATTGAATTTAATTGTATCGAAAATTGTATAGAAAATTTCTTTTTTTAGATTCAAAATTTCAGAATTTTTCATTTCAAATCCTTTTTTTTTTAGAATTATTCTATGGAATTAATCTCTTTAGCAATAAATTAATATGTTATTATTTGAATTTGAGAAATTTATTCACTATATATATATATATATTTTTTATTAGTAATAATAAGGATTATATTAAAGATATGAAAACTTTTTATTTAATTCAACTTTAAATTTCTTCAACAAAAAGCAATGATACTTACTTTGTACATATATAGTATTAAGAACATAGCAAAATAAGCCTAGTTTATTATGCATTAATTCATTAAAATTTCTATATGACACGATGAAAAATAATCAAACATTTAATCACTTTTACAAATTAAGATCTCATAATCATCCGTAACTAATTTGTGAATAATTTGTTACGTGTCATAAGATTCAAATCCAATTTAAATCCAATCAATTTCTCGTCACATGTATTAATGATGGAACAATTTCCATCATTCACCTTTCGATATACCGAAAATGAAATAAAATATTTTTCCACGAATAATCATAGCTTGAACTCTAACAGTTTCATTTATACTATCCTATAATTTAAAAACATTCAATCTTTTTTGAGATGGCCGGATCGAATTCAAATCCAATCAATCGAATTTAGTTCGTCTCCGCATGGCAAAACCAAACAACTTGCATCGTTCACTGAATATTCAATAAACCGTCCATTCTACCTTTCCACAGATGTGACTGTCCGGAGCGGCCTTGTCGACACTCGGCGGCAGGCGGTGGTACGCGGCATCGAGTGTCGGTGCAACCCTCTTCACCTACTTTCTCTCAAGCGAGCCAGTCGAATCAACAGCAACAGCAGCAGCCGTGCGAGTGCGCCGAAAGAATAAACTGCACCCACACAGGCGGCGGCGGCGGCGAGTGCGAGTGCGGCGAGGAAGCAAAGCCGTGCTCGCACACGGTCAGGCAACGCC